GGGTGGGGGGGGGGGGGGGGGGGGGCGCGGTTTGGGGGCAATCTTATAGGACTGGATTCTTAACTTGTGGCATCTGAGTTGAATTGTAGGACACCAGCTGATGTCCCGAGAATTGCTTGTTGGTGTGGGGACGCCCCCCCACCCGCCTCCCCACATTGGACTTGGTGGCCAGAACAAAATTCATCTTCATTTTTCTTTTCTTCAACATGAGTCAAATAAGAGGATTCTTTTTGAAATTTGTCTCTTTTATGTGCCTCAGATGTAATAAGTCACACGTCCTGCAGAGACAAATTGTTTTCAGGAAGCATTTCAAGGGGAAGAGACAGAGGCCGCTGTGAAACCTGGGAAATCTGAAGTAATCCAATTGAAAAGAGATCAAATTAGTAGGAAATGAAGGAGCATGGCAGCTTTAGAAACAGGAGAAAATCAGAAGAGGAAGCAGGATGAAGAAGTAAAAATTAATCTTTTTGTGCCGAGTGCCCAGAGAACCCCTCACTGACAACAAAAGTCGTGTTGCATTTACCTGAGCATCTTCCCTATTATTTTCTGTGATATTTACCTGCTAACGTGGTATTTTGGGGGAAAGAAATATCAACATCACAGAGTATAACTGCCCCTGCCCTCACTGTAGCAGTGGCACAAGTCGACGACACATGAAGTTTCATACCCTTTACTTCCAGAGAGCAGGCTGTCATTGAATAGAATTTTTGTCTTTTCAGTTTTTTTTTAAATCAAATTTTATGCTAATAATAACACTAAGGACAGGTACTGTGAAGTACTTTACAAATGTTATTTCACTTAATCTTCATAATAAATGAATGCGGTCAATGTGGTAGCTGGCTTTCCGGATGACTCCCAATTGTCCTCACTTCCTGGTAGTCGCGTCCTTATGTGGCCTCTCCCACATGGACTAGGGCTGATCTATGTGACCAACAGATGTTGCCTAAGTGATGGCGTGTGACTTCTGTGGTTACAAAAGGACACTCGCTTCTCCCACGGTTTCTTGGACTGCTTGCTCTGGAGGTGTAGCTAGTCATTATGCCACGAGGGCACTCGAGCAGCGCCTAGGGGAGGAACCAAGGTCTCGTACCAACAGCCAGGGCTAACCTGCAGGTCGAGTGAGCCCTATCAGAGGTGGATTTTCCTGCCCTAATCAAGCCTTAAGGTGGCTTTAACCCTTGCTGCCATCTTTGACTGCAACCTCAATTTCTTGAATCATAGAAACTGTAAGAAATGAGAAATTTTATTTATTAAAAAAAATATTTTTTTAACTACAAAGTTTTGGGGCAATTTGTTACTCCATTATAGGAGGAGGAAACTGAAGCTTGGGAAGAGTAAACCTCATGTTACAACTTTGGAATAGATTGAAAATATAATATTTAAATTCTAATCTTCTCCTTGTGTCCTCAACTTCATTTTGATCTTAGCTCTATAACCAAACACAGGAAATGTTCATTGCCAGTCCTTTTGCTGAAGTTCTCCAATCACCTTTTGGTTGGGTGAAGCCTACTTTCTAGTAGATGCCTCAAGAAGGGAACAACTTCACATGAGTTTTTGCATGTTCAAAATTCCTTTTCTGTCGTCTTAATAATTGAAGAAGAGCTTTGATGCATATAAAATTCTTGGCTTACATATGTTCAAGTTTTGGGAAAATGTTGCTCCTCTGTTTTGCCATGTCACAGGTTGCTTTCTCAAAGTTCAATGACATCTCATTCTCTTGTCCTTGTAAGTTATTTTACTTTTTTTTTTTTTTGCATGGCGTCTATCAGAAGTTTTAAAAATTCTTTAAAGTCTAATAGTTTTGCTAAGATATGACTCAGAGTTTATCATTCTGGGTCAGTTTTCTTGGGTACCTAATGGTCCCTTATGATCTTGGATTATAGTTTTAAATATTAGTTCCATTTCAGTACTTTATTTTTCTTCTTCATGGGCTCCAGCATGTTAGACCTTCTTTGACTGTCTTCTATTTCAATCATTTGTTCTTTATAATCTTTTTTCCTTTTTTTAAATTTTATATTTATTTTCTTGGGTGTTTTACTGCTTTACTTCAATGTACCTTATTACTTTTCATTCAAATCTGTTTTCCTGTATGCACCTTTTCCCCTTCCATTTTGGTCTGGTAATGCCTTACTGTCTTGTGAACTTTTTAATGATTTTAAGGTTTTTTATTTGATGTTGTATCAAGCATTTTTAGTTAGGATTTTTGTTTGTTTATGTTTTGGTAAAGGGATGAATAACTTAGCCTGCTATTACTGAAAACAGAAATCCCTACTTAGTCATAAATGGCTCCCAAAGTTGCAAGTGTTCTGCCAGAAGTATAAAGAAGGATATGCGAAGGAGAGATGTCATATTTCTTTGATTTGTAGGTATTGGGTGGCTGTTTAATGCCTTATTTATGACAAAGCATTGCAACTTTTCTGGAAACTTCCCATTTCCCATCTCATCTCATGCTGCCTTTTTTTGAGTCTCTGCCCAGCTGTGAAGACCTAAACCCTTATGTTTTTTCTGTTTGAAAGATATCATGAGAGACAATTGTCAAATTGATAAAATAGCAGATAAAATAGCAATTGATGAATATATTTATTGACTAGTGTTTACTTATCTAGGAAAGATAAAAGTACCAAAATGTAAGAACTGTTTGTATTTTCATGTCTTCTGTTTTGCCCAGAATCCCTTGGTTTTTCTAAAAGGGATTGTAAGCTTTGAGGTAAGGCTAAGTTTAGACTGGTTACATGGAATAGACTCCTTTGGTTAAGGTATTTGTTCCAAGAATTTGATGTAATTTTGAAGATCAGTATTTTTAAACCTTCCTGTATTTGAAAAAGTTTAAAAATTAAAAATAGTGACCTGTATTCAGGAATTAACTGTATTTGTTCTCAAACTTTTTTTTTTTTCACTCTTAGGTGAGCAAAGGAAATAACGAAAAATGACAAGTAGAAGACTTGAGGAGTCCATGGGGGCTGTTCAGATGGGGTTAGTCAGAATGCTCAAAGGATTCCAAAGCAAGGTTTTGCCACCCCTGAGTCCAAAGGTGGTTAAAGAAGAAGATGTCAACCAAATGGTAATGTATCAGAGAATCTCAGTGTAAAATCCCTAATGTAGTCGCCTCAGGAGGATGAGAGCTGCTAATTGGCATTATGAGAATCTGAGAGAGAATCGTTGCAGAGCAGAGGCACCTCTTAGAGGCTCAGAAGTTTTTGAAATTGCATGCATTGAAAGAGAGGCTTGAAATGCTTAAGTCAAGCAGTTGAAATAAGACTATGAAAGCAAATTATTAGGTTTTCCAAATATTTAGTTGAACCCTATGAAGCTGTCATTTGTGTAGTTAAAAAGCAAGCAAATATCAGAATTTTACAGGTTTTAACCTGAACACTCTATTAACCTGTTAATTGGCAAGAGTTATTTTCGTTTGTATATTTGTAGAACATAGAATATTAAAATAATGACTGTATTTTAGGAAAAATGTATGATTTTTCTTTCCTTTAAAATGAAAATATTTATATATTTTATTTTAAAATAACAGTTGACATTCAATATTAAAAATATTTATATTGTTAATGAATTATAATGATTTGGTGAGAATTGAATTATAAACTACATGCTATAGAAAATTTCAATAACAACTTACAATGTTAGATATAGTATTCACAGCATTTTAAAAACGAGTCTCAAGTTATATTTTAATTAGAAAAATATAATATATTATTCTCGTTTGTGGTGGTTATGGTTTCATATTTAAGGTAATTCCTGACTTTTTTGCTTATAAGACTATATTATTATTACTATTATTATTTAATCCTCATCTGAGAAGGATATTTTTCCATTGATTTCCAGAGAGAGTGAAAAGGAGAGAGGAGGGGGGAGAGGGAGAGAGAAACATTGATGTGAGAGAGACACATTAATTGGTTGCCTCCCGCCCGTGCCAGTACGAGGAACCTACAACCAAGGTACATGCCCTTGATTGGAAATCGAACCCACAACCCTTCGGCCCACTGGCCAACAATCTAACCACTGAGCACCCAGCCAGGGCTCAACTTTGTTATTTTTATTTAAATAACAGCACAGCTGATACCTCTTAACATTTTAGTATTCTAATATGGGTTCCAATAAAAAAAAAACCTTAAAAAAACAAGTTAGAAGCTATATTAGAAATAATACCTTCATTTAAATGGATTAAATCACAGAAAATAATTTCATAGGGAATTTGAAAAGCATTGATTTTTAACCCAAGGCAAAACAAATCAGCTAAATTATATTACTGTGATTGTATTTCAAAGTCTATGATCTCCTTGCAGCTAAAGTGGGCCCTGGGTGATGGAAATGCTCTGCATCTTGACTGTATCAATGTCAATATCCTGGTTGAGATACTGTACTATAGTTTTGCAAGACACTAACTTTTGGGGAAACTGGGCAAATGGTACCTGGTTCCTGGTATTATTTTTTACAACTAAACTGCATGTAAATCTTAAAATTACAAATTTAATTTAAAAAACACTTTCCTATAATTCAATCAATCAACCAATCAATCAGTAAAATAAAGTAGGTTCTGGAAATAATGTAAACATCCCAGCACAACAACAACTGCGTAATAGTGATTGGTCCTGGATAACTAAGCCCTTGTTCCGTTATTTAAATGATAAAGGGTAGGTTACATTTTCTTCCCCTCCTAACTTTAGAAAGTGTCCAAAGCATTTTGTGTTCTCATTTGGGTATGTGAATAGGCCTGACTGCCAGAGCTGATGATTGGTTTAGATCTCTTTTAAACCAAGGTCTAATGCACTTTTGTGATTTCTAAAAAGTTCAAACTTGTTTCTAAGCAGTGTAATCGCACTTCCTGAATCCTGTCCATTTTGTATGGTTACTCTTTAACCTGAATTAACCTGATAGTTAACGTTGTAATTTCAGTTGAGAAATAGATGTGTTTCAAACTTACCTCTGAAGCCTGAAAGTGATTTTAGAAAGTTAGGGCTTTATGTTCAGATGCCTCTTCTCAGCATAAATGTTAAGCTCTTTGGATATGTTCCTGTGCAATATCTTGACTCCCTCTCCCTCCCCCCACTCCCCAAGTTCCTTTGTGTGACTCCTTCAAGCTCATAAGGAAACAGTAACTACCTGTCATTTCAAATTACTTACAAAGAGCTCAAAAGGACATGGCTACTTCTCTTGTATTATTTAGTTACTTTAAATATTTTATAAGGGAACTTAGTGGCATTCCAGAATTATCCTGAAAGCTGAAAACACAAATTATTCATTACTGGAACTTATGAAAACACTTTTTCAGGGTAGCCATTTATGAATCTTTGGCTCCTGTTGTTTTAAATTCTAGCTAACACCGTCGGAGTTCCTGAAGGAAATGTCCCTGACCACAGAACAGAGACTGGCAAATACACGGTTGATGTGCCGACCACAGATCATCGAACTTTTAGATATGGGGGAAGCAACACATCAAAAGGTAGCTACTTTCTGTTTTACTAGCATTTGTCTTACTAGCATGGAAAGTAGGCACTGGTATAATGTGAACATTCCCCCCCCCCCATTGCTTTTTTAAAGAGAGGGGAAGGGAGGGAGAGTGGAAGGGAGGGAGGGAAGGAGGGAGGAAGAGAGGGAGAAAGAGAGATGTGAAATAGATACATTGATTGGTTGCCTCCCCCACATGCCCTGACCAGAGCTGGGGATCAAACCTGCAACCCAGGTATGTGCCCTTGACTGAGAATTGAACCTCTGACCCTCCAGTGCACAGGAGATGCTCTAACCATAGAGCAACACTGGCCAGGGCATAATGTGAACATTCTTGAACATAATGTGAACAGTCACTAAGTAATAGTTATTTTTTTCTGAGTCAATCTGTTATTTGTTTGCTTAACACATTCTTTTTCTTCCTCTGTTGATCTTGATACCTGTGATTTGATATGGAGAGAATTACAGTTAATTAGTACAAATAACTTTTGACTACTCACATTTCTTTCTTAGTTACTTCTGGACACTGTTGTTCGCAGATTAGGAGTAATTCCAAGAATTATGTTAGCCAAGCCTAATTAAGTTATCTTCTTAGCACAAGAAATCCCTCCTTACCTGAGCTGTCATCACTAGAAGAAATGAAAGTGAAATTATTAAAGTAGGCATTTGTTGTATATTCTGGCTCATCCTATATAATAAAAAGGTAATATGCAAATTGACCCTAAAGGTGGAATGACCGGGAATGACCCGTCTCTATGATGCGCACTGACCACCAGAGGGCAGAAGCTCAATGCAGGAGCTGTCCCCTGGTGGTCAGTTTGCTCCCATAGTGGGAGCTCCGCTCAGCCACAAGCTAGGCTGACAGCTGCAGGCACAGTGGTGGTGGTGGGAGCCTCTCCTGCCTCCTAGGCAGCGCTAAAGATGTCCAACTGCCACTTAGGCCTGCTCTCTGACCTAAGCCAGCAGGTGGACATCCCCCTAGGGTTCCTGGATTGTGAGAGGGTGTGGGCCCGGCTGAGGGATCCTCCCCACCCCAGTGCATGAATTTTCATGCACAGGGCCTCTAGTTTCCAATAACAAATGTTTTAGTCTCTAAAGAATAGTTATTCTAACATGTTTTTATATTTTAATATAAACCATATATTCTAGGTTTTAGGAGCATATTATTATAAAATGAAGTCTTTGTTTCTTACTTTTTAATTAACTTCTTGAATTATATGCTTCACTTTTTATGTAGAAATTATGGTATGAACTTCCATCAGTTGAACTACTGGAGATCAACCTCCTCTCAGCGGGTTCCTCACTATCCCAGAGAGTTTTTCAGACTTATTTTCTGCACGATGAATGAGTCCCTGAGGCTCTTTTGCTCTGCTCTTGCTAAAATACCACTGCCTCCCCTGTCAGTGGTAATTTTATGTAGATCCCGGTCAAGGATCTACATAAAAATTTCCTCTTCTTCTGAGCCCTGCTAGCTTTAATTATTATTTATTCTCTTCCCCATAACCACACTCTAACTTTGAGGGCAGGGAACATGGCTTTTCCCGAAGCTAATTTATCCTAATTAAGGGCTATTTGCTCCTTTCCCATAGCATAACTAGGACCATACTGTGTGTGTTTTTCTATGTATACTGCTTTTGTGTGTGTTTTAATGTATTTTGACTCCTGCTATGAAGAATGAGGAAAGAAGTATAGTACATCTCATCTTCTCTTTCTTTTCTCAACCCTGCTGGTTATTTTTACTTTATTTTCAGGAGTTTCATTTTTCTCTTAGTTGGATGACAGTCATCCTCTACTAACTTCTTCAAGAAGAGCTTATGGAAATGATTTCCCTGGTTTTATATGTTTGATAATATTTGCCTGTGGCCTTTCTACTGAATTGAAGTTTTGTTAGGTATAAAATTCTTGGGTCACATATTTTTTTCCATAAGAGCTTTGCAGGCATTTTCCTCACAACATTTTGGCTTTAAATAATGACATACAAAGGTATGAAGCCAGCTTGATTTTCCCCAAGATAAAAGATAGATATTTTAATCTTTTAGGTTTTATGCCCAAAGATTATTTATTTTTATTTAATGTCCAATAATTTTATTAGGTTGTACCTTTGTATTATTTCTAGAAAGTTTTCTTGTTCATGCCATTTTGGGTTCCTTTCCTTAGGAATATCAATTATGAACATGTTGGACCTTCTTTGTCTGCCCTTCTACATCTTCTATGTCTCCTCTAATCCATTTTTAACTTTCTGTTCATTTTCATTTCATTGTAGTTACATATACCAGGTTATCTTCTGTGTCCCTTACTTTGAGTTTTATGTATGTGTATTTCTAATAAAACTCATTCTTTCTATTTTATTTATTTATTTTTAATTCTTTATTGTTGAAAGTATTATATATGTCCCCCCCCCTTTCCCCCTTTGACCCTCTCTAGCCCATCCCTGCCCCCACCCAGGTCTTCAGCACCCATTGTTTGTGTCTATAGACTATGAATATATGCATACAACTTCTTTGGTCACCTCCTGCACTGGCCTCTACCAGGGCTGGGGAACCTGCAACTGAGGTATCCTTTGCTTTTCCAGATAAATTTTATAATCATCTTTTTAATTTCAAAAAAAATTTACTGGGAATTTTTTATTGGATTGCATGGATTTTTATATCAATTTGGGGAGTAGTTGACATTCTTAAAGTATTGAGTCTTTCAATTCATAAACATGATATATATTCTTGTATTCTTGTAGGTCTTTAAAAATTCTTCTTAGTGATATTTTAGTTTGTTTGGAGAAAGGTCTTGTATATGTTTCATTGGACTTATTCCTATGTATTTTATGTTTTGGGATGCTACTTTAAGTGGTATTGTTTATAAATTTAATTTCTTAAATGTTCCTAGATAGTACATAGAAGTATAATTATTTTTTTTATGTTGATCTTATACTCAGTGACCTTGATAAATCATGGATTAATTCCAATATTTTATCTAGTTGGTTATTTTGAATTTTCTAAATAAACAATTTTTTCTTCTGGGGAAAATGACAATTTTGTTTCTTTTTGATCAGTTTTGAATATTGAATTTCTGAGATAAACCCAACGTAGTCATGATGTATTATTCCTTCTAGATATTGTGGGTTTTAGTTTGCTAATGTTTTGTTTCTTTTTTTGAATCTATGGTTCATGAGTAACATTGACCTATAATTTTTCCCTTTTCCTACTGTCTTTCTTAGGTTTATGACAGTTATGTTAACATCATCAATTGAGTTGGAAGATATTTAATTTTTGTTTTTCTTTCCTTTGGTAGAATTTTTATAATATTTGAGTCACATCTTCTTTAAATGTTTGCTAGAATTTGCTTGTAAAGTTATTAGGGCCAGAATATTCTTTATGAAAGGTTTTACTTACAAATTCACTATCTCTAATAGGCATAGAACTATTTTAACTTTCTATTTCGTCTTGTGCTAATTTTGATAAATTGTATTTTTCTAGGAATTTTTACTTTTTATCTAAGTTTTCACATTTATTGACATAATATCCATTTATTATCTTCCTTCATTTAGGTTCTGTAGTAATGTCCCTATTTTCATTATTTAATGAGCTCTTTGTACCTTCTGTCTTATTTTTTAAATCAGATTCACTAGGTATTTTATTAATTTTATTAGTCTTTTTAAAGATAACTTTTGGCTTTGTTGTTATATAGTATAGTTACTTTCCATTTCATTAATTTCTGCTATTATTTTTGTTATCTCGTTTTTTATTTGTTTGGGTTTTTATTTTTTAACTAGAGGCCTGATGCATGAAATTTGTGCAAGGGGCTTGGCCCTCATAGCCCCGGCTGCCTCGGCCCTCGCATCCCTGGCTTTGTCCGGAAGGTCCTCTGGACGGTCGTTCCGCTCTTCAGCCGTTTGGTCAATTTGCATATTTTGCTTTTATTATTATAGATGTTTGCTATTGATTTTCTAAATTACTGAGGTGGATGCTTACATTTTTTGTTTTCAAACTGTGTTTCAAGATGCCTCAGGGTACAGCCATAAAATTGCAGGGCATCATGGAATATTCTGGATTTTTAAGGAAATGTGGCAGTACTCAGAACTTGTTGGATAGTATACAGGCTATTAGTTTGAGGTAATTCATAGTTCCAATATTAGATTATACCATCTTTTTAGCTCTTTAGTGCCTCCAAGGAGGCATTTGCTGACATAACATTTTTTTGTTATTCTCATAGTAGAATTGGTACAAATTACCTTATTCATCATTACCAGAAATGGAAGTTTTGGATTAGTGTTCTAATTAGTCTCTATTATCTATAATAATAAAAGCATAATATGCTAATTAGACCGGATGTTCTTCCTGATGAAGCCAGGGCTGTGAGGGAAACCCGGGTCCCGGGTGCCGGAGGGAAGCTGGTGCTGGCAGCTGGGGGAAGGAAGGCCTACTCTTGCACGAATTTCATGCATCGGGCCTCTAGTTTATTTATAAATGATCTTTCATTGAAGTATTTTCCACTGTAGTTCTTAACTATCCAGACAGCATTGTACTGCCTCACTGTTGATGTCATCTATGATGTCATGTGAGTGGCAGCCATCAACATTGCAGCCCACTGTCTGGGCAGTCCTCAGGATCTCTCGAATGGTTCCAGAGAATTCTCTGGCTAAAGATCAGTGCTGCATCTGTCTTGCAATGTTGACAATCTCATCAATGTCCACTGTACATAATGTTTTTTCCTTCTTTCTATCTCTTGGAGGTTCTTTGAGGCCTTTGATGATCAGGGCAGAGGCAGACTGTACTACCTCCACCTGGGCCTGTCTGTTCTGAATGGTCCGTTTCATTGTAATCCTCAGACCCTTCCAATCACCTTCTGCTTCGGCGATTTCATTAGCAAATATTTTCTGGAGGCAGGCCCAGGGGGCCTCTCTTGGGAACCAGGGCAGACATGGCACTGACCTCCCCACTGGTGCAACTCAAGAATATGACTTTGACCTCGTTGGGGTTGCATTTTGGCAGCATGTTGGAGGCGACTGGTGTCAGATGAACCTGGATTTTGGACAACCAAAGAAAGTTGTACCTAAGCCGCCTCTGAGCTGAAAGCAGAAAGCTAGCCCCTGTTTTTTTAAATGAGGACCAAAACTTCTTTTTTTGTATTAAAGAAGTTGATGAAATAACCTTAACAATTATACCAATTATTGTTTATAGTAATCACCCCTTTTTGAGTGTTCCTTTTGTTGTTAGTATTAATATTCATAGACCTATATAGTCTTTTCTTATTTTCCCTAATCATTTTTGCATTGTGTGATTCTATGATTAATTTACTTTTTCAACTAAAGTTTTCAGATATTGACCTGGACCAGGCATTATTCCAGCCCTTTCCATCAGAAATTATATTTCAGAACTACACTCCCTGCGAAGTCTATGAAGTTCCATTGGTTTTGAGGAACAATGACAAAGTGAGTATGTTTGATGCGATGGCTATATCTTTCATGGATACATAAGAAGGAGCAAATTACATTGGGATCATGTAGGATCTTAGATAAATTCTTTAAGACCTAGGAAAATAGATGAAAACATACCCATTGACTGTAGGCTTAATGAAGACAAGACTCTGTTGGTTGGTTTGTTGCTATATGTATGTTCAATCCCTGGGCAGTGCCCAACAAACAGAAAGCTCCCGACGTGCACTGATGTTTTCTTGAATAAAGGATTGGCTAGATGAATGTCATGTTCTCATGTGTGACCAGTGGGCTAGGCTTTCATTTAAGACAGGGTGATTACTATTCATGCTTACATACTTTGCTTTAGAGCCTCCCTAATTGAAGGTGTAAACTCATCTGAATTGCGGTTATTCAGCCAATGCTATTATATTCTACAAATTGTATTTTCTTTTAATTAAAAAAAGTGGATATCTCTTTCCCCCTTTTCTTTCTCCCTCTTTTTACCTCAGAAGACTTTAGATTTTTTGTTTACAGATAGCTTTGGGCAGCTTCTCTCACTGTTTATACCTTGTCACTTTGTGGTTGCAACTGAGGATTTCTTCTCCATCCTATGCCTTTTTCTTCAGAGATAATTAGGGTTTATTTTTTAAAAAGATACTAAATGCCTGAAGATTTCCTTGACATATAATGATTATGGAAAAAAAAAGAATTAGGCTGGAGGTCAGCATAAAGCACAGGTCAATATGAAAAGTAATCAGATAGGGAGGAAAGGTCTCTGAGAGATGCTAAAGTTTAGGTGTAAAGACAAGTAAAAATATGTATAGAATCTAAGAATGTGGAGGCAAATTCTCACTAACCAAGGGAATTCTCCTGACCGAGGGAAGATAAGTAAAGACTATGCAAGAATCCAAGGCAAATGGGAAGACTTGCAGGTATATTTGGCACAGTAGCTCATTAAATGAATCAGTGATGCTTCAAAGATCAGTGGGATGATTTAGTGACAGCAAAACCAGGCCCTGGGAAAAAAGGGCATATTTTTTTTTTTTTTTGCTGCAGGAGTGTTAGCAAGAGAAGCTCAAGGGATAGAAGCTGAAGTGTAGGCACAGAGAAGAAAAATAACCCAGGTGTTCAGGATTATGTTCCTAGACCTTAAGAAGAGATATATTGCATAGACTTTAGGACTCTCTTTTTTTTTTTTTTTTAAATATATTTTATTGAGTTTTTACAGAGAGGAAGGGAGAGAGATAGAGAGTTAGAAATATCGATGAGAGAGAAACATCGACTAGCTGCCTCCTGCACATCTCCCACTGGAGATGTGCCCACAACCCAGGTACATGCCCTTGACCGGAATCGAACCCGGGACCTTTCAGTCCGCAGGCTGACGCTCTATCCACTGAGCCAAACCGGTTTTCGGCAGGACTCTCTTTTCATATAGGGCTCCCAAATAATTTAGTTTCTCACTTCCAGTTCTCTTTTTCCCTTTCTACATTACTCTTTTTTTTTTTTTTTTTTTTTTTTTTTTTTTTTTTTTACTTTTGCCTGAGTTTTCTTAGGCTTTGAAAGCCAGAGAGGAGATAGTCTAAGTCTTCATTAGGTTGAGGGGTAGTTGGGGCCACTCTTCCCTGGCCTTAGGCAAGAAAGGCATGCCAGTTGGTTTATATGGACAAGTCAATGATAAGGGACGTGTGTAAGTTTTACTGCCAAAGGTCACTCAATTCTCATGGATAACCCGAGAGCTCTTGGTAAGATGCTGCTAGAGGGTTGGACCCCATGAAAGGATGGTTCTCATCTAGGGAAATTCAGCCAGCAACAAGCAGACAGATTTCCCCTTGCCAGGCAGGCTTGTTTCTGGGCAAGTTACTCCCAGGGCCCTTCCTTATACTAGATGCCTGATATGAGCCTACTTCTCTACTTCCTAGGTTCATGGACACTTAAGGAACTACTGAGATATATTTGGGCACCGTGCCACTCACCTTTTATTTGCTTCCTCACTGGCACGGAATGCAAAAAGACATAGCCTGTTTGGTCATTATTTGTCTCTCTCTCTCTCAAACACACAAGTTGAAAGTAAGCCATGAACACTCCACAAGCCACAACATGATTCTACTTTGGATACAATAATAATCAGCCAGACTCCAGAGGCAGACAGATCTGGGTTCAGATTCCAGTTGTCTCCCAGCTGCAGACCTTGGGCAAGTCATGGGCCCTGGGGATAATTATAATACCCATCTCAAAAGGTTGTTTGGAATAGTGAATGAGATACCGAGTGTATGCAGTTCAGTGCTTGTCACGTCGTAAGCACTATGCCATTATTACTTTTATTATTATTATATTAGTGTTACTGTTGTTTTCCTTCCTAGTTTTTAGTTCACAGTTATGCTGTTATTAAAGTATTCCCAGCAAGCTTACACAGTATCACTTAACACATAAATGTCAGGGCACATTTCCCTTATCTCTGTGAGTTTGCACACATCTCTTCCTTATCTCTTCACCCTCTGAATTCTCTTTGCATTTCTTCTCCCCTTTCCCATCTGGTGACAGCTTTGAGAGGTGGTAGGAGGTCTTTTTCCTTCCCTTTTCACCTGAGGCATCTGAGTCAGACTTGACTATAGTTAACTTTCCTTCTGCCCACTTCAGTCTTTAAAAAAAACAATCCTGTCTCCCTTTCCTAGTGTCCCTAGAGCCTCCACCCCTGACCACCCTCATTCTTGTCATAACTGAGATAGAGCTACTACTCTAGGCAAGGCAAGCAAGGCAGAGAAATAAGACTTTAAAAGAATAAAACTGAAGCTGTTGGGAGACCTGCCTTGGGGACATTATACTGTTTTCTTTGTTCTTGCTTCCCAGTGGTGTTTACTTAGGACAATCTCATAGAGAGGAAGGCGGAGTTAGGCTGGGACTTGACTTGAACACCATTGCTCAGCTCAGTGAAGCTGTGGCAATAGGGCAAGTGCCTGGTTCTTCATCTGTAGAATGGGGGTCATAGTGTAGCTCAGAGTTTACTGGGCGGGTTAAGCGACACCTCTTGTGCAGTGACGGTCAGTAGCAGGAGTGCAGCAAGTGTGGTTTCTTCTCCCAGAGCAATTCTCAGATGTTGGGAAATCCAGCTCAACTCGGCTGTGTGAGTGCGGTCTTGGCAGTCGGTCTCTGAAGATAGTCACATTTAAATAATAAAATGAACAAAGACTTAAAATAACAATAAAATGAGTAATAATAATGTTCATGAAATTTAAAGTTAAAATGCATTGAGTGCTTACTTTGTGTAAGACACTGGGATAGAGGTAGGGCCTGTCATCTCCTATTACAGTTGATGAAACTGAAGTTTAGACCTGACCAAGGTCACCTGGCTAGCGGGTGGTAGATGGAGATTTCATGTTTACCTACGAGGCCCGCACTTTCCCTTCTGCACTTTCACACGCACAGTCATCGCTCTATGTTTTTCTTGCAGATTCCAAGGATGGTGAAAGTTATTGAGGAAAGCTCACCGTACTTTAAAGTAATCAGCCCTAAAGACATTGGCCACAAAGTAGCTCCAGGAGTGCCATCCATATTCCGAATCCTCTTCACTCCAGAGGAGAACAAGGTAACGGCAGTGCTGGCAAGAAATTGGTTGCATGCTTTCACTAGCAGTTTGCAATTCAGGCATTAAGGAAGTGGTGGTTGGTTTTGGTGTTGGTGTTGGTATTGGTATTGGTATTGTTAGTCGGGGTATTAGCTGTATTGGTTGTGGTGTTGGTGGTAGTGATATTGGTTTGATGGTGGTAGTTGTGTTGTTGATGGTTTCGGTGGTGGTGGTAGTGGTGGTGGTAGTGATATTGCTGTTGTTGATGGTATTGGTGGTGGTGGTGTTGATGGTGTTACTGTTGTTGGTGGTGGTGATGAGAGGAGTGATAAGACTGGGCGAGAGGAGGGGATGGCATTCCACTGGGAATGAGAATACAATTGTCAAGGAGTGTTGAGGGCTTATATGAGCTGTAAGTAGCCAGGATGTAAAGAAGGGTAATCCTTCTAACCCCTCCTCTCCCTTCTCCCCCAGCACCTACCTCAGCATATTTATATTTGACTGTACAGTTAGAGGGATACCAAAAAGGAAAAGGTGTGGTCCAGATGCGGTGAGCTAAAGCAAATGGCTTCTTGGAAGTTTGGGATCCTAGCTATTACATTCCTCCGCCCCAGATTCTAACTAGTTTAGGAAAGAGACCTAAGATCCAAATATTGATCACAGTATCAGTCTAATTAATGGTAAAAAATGTGGCCAGACCTGAGGCCTAGAAGGGGCTTCCTCCTGTTTGCCTGGAAAGGGATTGGTAGATAACTGGGCCTTGGTGAAGGGCTGACCTCACTGATAGCTCCGTCCAAGGAGGAGTGGAGAAGCTATAGCTTAGAGCATGTGTACACAGGAAGGATGGAAAGAGCCTGAATTCAAAAAGAGGCCATTCCCCCTTAGCACCACGGAGCAGTGGGGAATCTAACCCATCCTTAGGCTCTCCTTGCTTGAAGGAATTCCAGTTCCTCCCAGAAGGAAGGACCAGCTAAGGGGGACTGAGAGAGGAGGCTTCCTCCCTAGCCCTTCTCCAAGAGCACAAAACTGTGGGTTGAATTTTCCTCTATATGGACCAAAGTGGGGACTTACAGGTTTTACCTGCATGATCAAAGGAGTTAGGACAAAAAATAAGGTTTAAATAGGCATAACAAAATATCAGGTTATATATAACTAGAAGCCCGGTGCACGAAATTCATGCACTTGGAGGGGAGGGGGTCCCTCAGCCCGGCCTGTGCCCTCTCGCAGTCCGGGAGCCTTTGGGGAATGTCCGACTGATGGACCTAAGCCAGCCGTGGGCAAACTACGGCCCTCGGGCCGGATCCGGCCCATTTGAAATGAATAAAACTAAAAAAAAAAAAAAGACCGTACTCTTTTATGTAATGATGTTTACTTTGAATTTATATTAGTTCACACAAACACTCCATCCATGCTTTTGTTCCGGCCCTCCGGTCCAGTTTAAGAACCCATTGTGGCTGAGGAACTGTATTTAAAGGGCCAGAAGGTTGAGAACCACTGTCTAAGGCAGTGATGGCGAACCTATGACACGCTTGTCAGAGGTGACACGCGAACTCATTTTTTTGGTTGATTTTTCTTTGTTAAATGGCATTTAAATATATAAAATAAATATCAAAAATATAAGTCTTTGTTTTACTATGGTTGCAAATATCAAAAAATTTCTATATGTGACACGGCACCAGAGTTAAGTTAGGGTTTTTCAAAATGCTGACACGCTGAGCTCAAAAGGTTCGCCATCACTGGCCTAAGCTGTCAGTCAGACATCCTTAGTGCTGCCGTGGAGGCGGGAGAGGCTCCCGCCACCACTGCTGCGCTCGCCAGCCGTGAACCCGGCTCAGGGCTTCTGGCTGAGTGGTGCTCCCCTTATGGGAGTGCACTGACCACCAGGGGGGCAGCTCCTGCGTTGAGCATCTGTCCCCTGGTGGTCAGTGCACGTCATAGTGACCGGTCGTTTCTGCCGTTCAGTCGATTTGCATATTAGCCTTTTATTAAATAGGATGTTAATAGTGTTCGTGTCATGTCATTATGGCTGGAATCAAAAGAGCATAATGGGGTCTGAGAGAACTAGATTTAAATCCTTGCTTCTCCATCACTAATACTTATTAGCTGCTGTCAATGTCATTCCCCATATTCTTGTTTATTGCTATTGTTGCTACTTTTCTGGAGAACAGGGATGGAGAATTTAAAATGTGATCTGCCAAGTATGTATCACTGTAGCGAGTGGTTCGAAATTCCATTATAATAAATAACACTGCAATTCTTACTTTGCCCATTTGTAATATCACTATTTCTCGGGCTGTGCTTGTGGACCTGGCATTTTGTTTGGGGTCCTGTTGAAATAAATGAAAAGATAAATAGCTCCAGAAGTAATGTCCTTTGTTAAGTGCGATTGAAGTCCTTGTTTTTCCTTGAGGCTCCATATCTGAATAGTAACTGATAAGAGAACAGCACCTGGATTTAGTTTGGGTGTCAAATTCCCACACTGACATTTCTGTAGGAAGCCAAGCATAAGCTGATTATAAGCCTTTGTGCATCTTGCAATAGAAAGCTTGCTGGACCTGAGGAGTTGGCTTTCCTTAATTTTTTTCTGTGCTGGAGAAAATATGTCTTCTGTTGGATAAGCATTGTTCTCCCTGCAGGTAGTCTGCCTGAGAAAAGGACACATGGGACTTTCTGAGGAGGTGGAATGTTCTAGATCGTGATAGGTGTGTGGGTTGTGTGGATAAACTCATTTGTCAAAATTGCACGTTTAATACTTATGCTTTCCAATATATCCAAACTTTACCTTGAAACTATAGACATATAATAATAGTAGAAGGGGAGATGGATTGAGGTATAGAGAAAGCCAGAGTGGCAGGATATTAGTAATTGTTGAATCTGGTGATGGGTACGTGGGATGTGTTATACTATTCTTTGTATATGTGTTCTTTGTATATGATTTAAGTTTTCCCCAATCAAAGGCTGAAAGAAAAGAGAGTTTTTATTACTGCTTATCTACACAGCAAATACATAATTGAAATGTATGTTAGTCACGTTTGTATTTACCTTATAAATATGGAATGCTAACATCCCGTTGAGGATTACTACTACTTGGCTATATTTTGTGGCTGCTTATTTTACTCCCAGGTTTTTTACTCCCTATTACCATTCCATTTCACCAACATTGCGTGTTTGCTGGGAAACCCCTGGATAAATTTTAACTGCTGTTTTACTGTTTCTTCTTCTAAGTATTTGAAAGTTATCAAAGGCTACAAGCGTGTATGCAGAGGCATAAAATGAGAATAATGGCTCCCTAGAGAAATGCAATGATCTCATTTTGCGTACATTAAGATTTTGTTTTGGATATGGGCTCGAAGCTATAATATGATTTACAGAATTTGTTTTTCTAAGGACATAGTGATTTCTCCTTTTGCTGACTAAGACTGATGGCGTGTGTGTGGAGAAGCTCTTGCTGCTACTTTTGCTTTATTTTTTCTGCAAAGATCCTCTTACACTTGCACCATCAGCAGTGTTTCCAGTCCCTGGGCATCCACATTTCCACTCTGACGGTTGGAAAGCCGACAGGGGCATGCACAGGATGGCCAGCTGGGGTTAGTCATGCTGTCTTTAGTGCTGCTCCAGAATGTAGCAGAGGACTAACTGGAGCCAGATTTATTTTAGGAAAAATAAAAGTTCATCTTTTCACTGTGTCATTTTTTCTTCAGTTGGCCAAATTGATAGCCAACGTACATATGTATTTTCCCTCCTTATCCCCTGCTGATCTGAGCACGCTCCATTCTCATTTACCCTCCTCACATCTGGAGGATGAGATATGTAAATTGCAGCGTGCCATCGCTTAATAGGCCAGCCCCCTTTCAATCAGATTTTCAGCACCCATGTATATTAGCATGTCAGAGATGTTAATGCAATTCACATTTTCCCCCTGTCATCTATTAATCTGGCCTCCTAGGGATTGAACTTGTTAAGAATGCCAAATACCCAGATAACAGGTGCAGCAAATTTACTTCAGCTTTCCTTATCTCTTCTCACACAGACTTTAAAATAATGATTGGATATGTTATTAATCGAATAATCCTAGTGTACATGTCATCCTATCTAATAAAGAGGGAATATGCTAATTGACCCTTACGCCATCGCAAAGATGGCGGCACCCACAGCCAATAAGGAGGGAATATGCTAATTGACTGCCACGCCCTCAAAGATGGCGGCGCCCACAACCACAAGATGGCAGTGCCCAGTCTCCTCAGCCCCACTGGGTGCCTGCCTCTGGAGTCCCCCAGTCCCCTCAGCCCCCCAGCTTCCCAGGGCAGGCCCGAGGCGCAGGCAAACCTTGAATGGCAGCTGCCCAGCCGCCCAAGGCCGGCTGAGACTTGCGCTGCCGGCAGTGGCAGCAGCAGAGGTGTGATGAGGGCGTCGCCTTCCCGTGATCGCCGGGTTGCCTCCTGCACCTGAGGGCTCCTGGACTGTGAGAGGGGGCAGGCTGGGCTGAATTTTCATGCACCGGGCCTCTAGTTGAAATATAATAGTCAATGCTGTCATAATACCACAAAATTCTGGAGCCTGGAATTTTTCTTGACCTCTTAAATTTGTATATTTACTATGAAAAGGTGTTTGGAAAATAATAGGCTTTTGCAGTAAAGCAAAAGTGGGTACTTTCTTGGGCTTAAGGAAGCATCTGTTTAACTACAGTGTTATCATAGGGAAATGGCTACAGCGAATAAAATGTGAAGTGATGCAATTTTATTGTTGTTATGTTATAAGAAAACATCTAATTTATTGTCAAAACTGTTTTACTGATTTGTTACTGTGAAACTTAAAAAATGATGGCCCAAGAAAAATAGGAAAATGTTAACATGTTTAGTGTTATCTAAAATGGCAATAATAAAATATATTGCCAGCATTTTGAATTAAAGTTTAGATATCATAAAATTTTCCACAATCAACAATGTTTGTTGGCAAAAAAAACGTTAAGGATTTTGTGTTCTTTCTGCCTGGAATTGGCCCTCTCTAGTTCTGTCTGGGTCACCCCTGTAACCCCAGTGCCTAGCACAGTGCCTGACACACAGGATGTGTGCAGTAAATATTCGTCAAGTGAGATAGGTAAGTAAAAGTTCATGTCAAGAAAATATAAATATGTGTTCTCAACTTGAGAATGGCCTACAGATGATAAAAGCAAAAAGCTTATAAAAAAGGACTCAAATGTCTTTTTGTGCCACAAGCATATTAGATGTTAACTTTCTTGTCATTTCAGCCAAAAGAAAGATGTCTGAGAGTCTTATATAAGAGGAGTGCTTCTCACCATTTTTGTTTCATGTCATCCTTGAGTCATATCACTACTTTTTTAGCTTTCTGGACTTGATCAGTATCATTTTATAATAAGGCTAATATGATGATGTTGGGAAATCTCTTAATGAAGAACTCTTGATACTTTAATACCCAAATAAAGATATTAAAAATAAGTAATATTGTCCTAGCTGGTTTGGCTCAGTGGATGGAGCATCGGGCTGGGGACTGAAGGGTCCCAGGTTCGATTCCGGTCAAGGGCACATGCCTGGGTTGTGGGCTCGATCCCCAATAGGGGGTGTTCAGGAGGCAGTTGACCAATGATTCTCTCTCATCATTGATGTTTCTCTCTCTCTCTCTTCCCCCCTCCTCTCTGAAATCAAGAAAAATATATTAAAAAATGAGTAATATTCTTTCACTCACTCTGCACCAGGCCCAGTTCTGTGAGCTGGGATCCTTAGGAGAACAGAACAAACTTGGGCCTTTCTGGAGCTTGTGCTCCACAATGAATAAACAAACATGCATATAATTTAATGTCAGGTATTGACCTGATAGAGAAGAGAGAGTGATGAGAGGGTCCTGTTTCCTTTCAATAGGAGAGTCAGGGAAGACTTGTCTGATGAGGTAACATTTGAGCAGAAAACTAAATCAAGCCATGCACATATCTGAGGGAAGATGTGTGGTTGGGAGAGGGCAGGTTCAAAGGCCCTGCCACTGAAACATGCTGGGCAACAGAAGGCATGCGGCTGGAGCAGAGGACGCTGCTGGAAGAGCATAGGAGACAAGGCTCCAGAGAGTGAGCGTCTTAGGAATCACGCAATGTAGGATAGGGAGCCATCTGAAAGTGTCCTATATAATAAAAGGCTAATATGCAAATTGTCCCCTCAACCAGGAGTTCAACAGGCAGTTCGACCAGGGGGCGGGGCCAGTTGGCCAACCGCCTGTGGCTCTTCCCCTCAGCCGGCCCAGCCCACGATCGGCCCCTTCTACCCCAATCCAGACCCCCACCCATGCACGAATTTGTGCACTGGGCCCCTAGTTAAAAATATTTTTTGTTATGGAAGCTTTCACTCACTTGTACAAGTAGAGAGAACAGTATAGAGTGAACTGTCTTCCCTCAGATTTTCAGGTTATCAGTGCGTGACCAATCTTACTTCATCGATCCTGTTCCCTGCCCCAGAAGATTTGAAGCCAGCCCCATACATCATATTATTTCATCTGTAAATACTTCATTGTCTGTTTCTAAAAGATCAGGACCTTTAAAAAGTTAACATGGCCACAATACCATAAGCACACCTAAAAACAATAGTTTAGGAGTGGGGAAAAGGCAGAAAGAGGATTGCCAGGGCTTAACCACACTGGCTGTGCCCAACCTTGAATTCAGCCTCGAGAGGCCTTTGCCTGAGCATTTAAAGGACAGAATTATTGCCATGTTTGCTCTTTCTCATGGAGCTAATATAAACTCAAGATTCATTCTTTTCACTTCTCAGAAAGCCACATCTGCCAATTTCATATCCTACTGCTGGTGTTTCAAAGTTAAGAGGAAAGGCATGTTGGAAGGAAGGCTAACAGACAAAAAGTGGATTGGACGTTTCATCTGGAGAGCACACGGGATAAAATTTTAGGATATAAAGTAAATTATGGCTGAGTCTCCTGTAGTAGAGGGGCCAGAGCTCCCTGCTCTGCCGCTAAGCACAGCGGAAGGAAGTTCATCAGCTGAAGTAATTGCTTAGCTCGCAGGCTAACGAAGCCTCCCCTGTCGTAACACCGGAATTAATTTTAGGCCAGCACAGTAATATAAATTGTATATTACATAATCTAATGTAGTCATATTAAATGTAGAACTCTAGAGACTGGAATACATTATCGAGGAGCTGTTGAAAGAATCTCTTCATAATCTTTTATGAGTGCATGAATTGATTATGAAAAAAATACACAGTGGTGGGCAAAAGTAGGTTTACAGTTTGTATGGCAAAAAGACATGCAGGTTATGATTATTACAATGGCTTTATTAACGCAAAAGAATATCACAATGGCACAGTGCACTTAGGTACAATCTAGTAAGTGCTCCAGTTGCTGGCCTTCATTATTTACACATTCTTGTAGTCTTTGAATATCAGTGAACTGCCCGGCCAGTGTTGCTCAATGGTTGGGCGTTGACCCATAAACCAAGAGGTCATGGTTAGATTCCTGGTCAGATCACATGCCTGGTTTGGGGCTCAATTCCAGTAGGGGGCGTGCAGGAGGCAGCTGATTGATGTTTCTCTCTCATGGATGTTTCTATCTCTCTATCCCTCTCCCATCCTCTCTCTCTAAAATCAATAAAAACATATTTTTAAAAAAAGGAAAATCAGTAAAGAAACCTGAATTTCAGTGACCTGAAGGGTTAGCCCCAAGGCCTCCTGAGGTCGTTGAATTCAAACATACTTTTTGGCCCACCCCTGTATAATTCCAACCAAACTTCAAGTCTTCCTCATTTGGACATATGAAAAGGGTTGAAAACATCCTTGTGAATATTTCAGTTAGCTTCCTAAACTGTTCCCAGTTTCTTTCAGAGCGAGGCGGAGAATATGTAAATATAGAATAAGATAGGACAAATTACTTTGGATCGCCTCTTATCCTGGGTTCAGCAGCAGCTTTTGTTCTTTCTCTCAAAGTCTCAGTTAATGTTAAGTCTCCACACCTGCCAGGAGCTTTCCAGTTTCTGATTCCCAACAAAACCTTTGCCTGCTAGGTTTGATCTCCTAAGAAACAATGAAAAACAACACTCACCTCTTTAGGATTCTGATGTAATCAGACAAAGCTGTTTCAGTTGACTTCAGTGAGGTTTTCTAGGGTCAAATATGCTTAATGTAATTTGTGCTTCCCTATGTCTGGGTAACATAATTTTCAAGCCTGGCATTACCATCTAGAAACCAACTGGGGCCATCAATCTAACACATGTTAGAAGGCTGACTAGGCATGGTCAGGAGGAGGATGTGAGGGAACTGGTGTGAACCTCCTCTGATCTAAACACAAGTGTGCCATCCCCCACCCTCCCTCCCTAACATCTGGGAAACAAGAAACATAAGCTTTCTGTTAGCTTGTAGGCTTTAACACTTGAACTGCTCTCTCTGTCAGAAAAGAGTATCTCAATGAAAGTACAACTATAATTGTCTTGAGACAGTTTCATAGAATATATTAATTTTTTTTGCTAGATGCCTGGCATATGGCCATATTTCTTGCCCAGTTATCTTGATCATGTTGGTGTGTCCACAGATAATGATTGTACCTTCTCCTGTAGGATTACGCCCATATGTTGACCTGTGTGACTGAGAGAGAAAAGTTCATCGTACCCATCAAAGCCAGAGGCGCTCGAGCCATCCTGGATTTTCCTGACAAGCTGAATTTTTCCACTTGCCCTGTCAAATACAGGACTCAGAAGATGCTGCTGGTCCGGAATATTGGCAACAGAGACGCTGTGTTCCACATCACAACTTACCGGTATGCATTCCTGCAGCTCTTGATTTTAATCCATGATAGCCACATCCAGTCAGCATAGGTCATCTGCTAGAATAGCAGTTGGGGTTGGAACTGCTTGTAACAGTCTTGAGTTGCCAGGCTGGGAGGTCTCACGGATGTTGGGCAGACTTCCTCTTCATCCCCAAAGGAATCCAAATTTCAAGGTTACCTGTTTGGGTATGGAGGGTTTTCTGAAATGCTGGATGAGAGTCTCTCTACGTAGCATGGAGAATGGTCCGTGGGAATCTATTAATAAACATTTGTTTTATCTAAGAATTTTATAACTGGCTGTACTATTTTTCTACTATTATAACAAATTACCACCAACTTAGAGGCTTAAAACCACACAAATTTATTCTCTGACATTTTAGACTGTCAGAAGCCTCACAGGGCTAAATCAAAGGGGCCAGCAGGGCTGTGTTCTTATCTGAAGGCCTGAGGGGAGAATCCATTTCTTTGCCTTTTCCACTTCCTAGGGGCCACCCCTATTCCTTGGATCATGGTGCTCAGTTTTCTCCTCTGAAAAATGGGAAAAAGTATAGTAGCCACCTAATAGGGTGGTTGTGAGGAAGAAATGAATTAATAAATGTTAATTGCTGGTACACAGCAAGTGGAATATACTAAGTGTTTGTTTCTTCTGATTGTTTCTTCAAATGAGCTACGGCTAGTGTAGTGGGCAGAATAATGGTTCCTCAAATATGCCCATATTCTAATCCCAGAACCTGTGAGTGTATAATGTTATATGTCAAAGGGGGTTTAGGGTTGCAGATGTCATTAAGGTTGCTAATCAGCTGACCTTAAAATGGGGAAGTTATCCTGGATTATCGGGATGGGCCAGTGTAATCACAAGGGTCTTTAAAATAGAAGAGGGAGGCAGAAGGAGAGTTCAGAGTGATGAGATGTGTGAGAGGAACTCAACGTGCTCTGCAGGCTTTGAAGATGAGAAAACAGAGCAGTAGAGGTTGTATAACTTGCTCAAGAGCACATAGCTAGTAAGTGGAAGGAGTCAGCGTTTCATCTGATAATTTGAGAAGTAGCTACAGGGTAGTAGACACCATGGGACAATATAAAGGACAATGAGACAATCCTTGCCTGTAAGGAGCTCTCTTATAAGATGGGAAAGAACAATTGTTATGAAACTTCAAAACGGCGTCTGATCGGCAAGGCCATGACAAGAGTGACCAGCTTGGGAGGATAGGAAACAGAGGGTCGAGTTCTTTTCTATGACTTAAAAAAGTGTGTATATTGATCTGGACTGTGAGCTCATTTTCTGAAGGGCTTTGTCTGTGGAATCCTTTGCTGGTTTAAGGATACAACTCTTCAGAAAGGATTAGCATTTGCTTCTGCCTGGTTCATAAAGGTTAGATTGCATAGACTATTGGTGATTATTTGCTGATCATTTGACTTGGGGGTTCCTGGACTGATAGTATAAATCCAAACCCCAAACCTGCATAGGACACATGTCCAAAGTTATGAATCCCTAGATACATTTTGTTCCTTTCTCTCAAAACCAAGACAGACATTTTTCCTTGTGCTAATGGAGAATGGTTTGGCAGCCCTTCAAGTTTCCTGGTTCTATTTTTTTAAAAAAAGTATTTTATTGGTTTTTTACAGAGAGGAAGGGAGAGGGATAGAGAGTTATAAATATCGATGAGAGAGAAACATCAATCAGCTGCCTCCTGCACACCCCCTACTGGGGATGTGCCCGCAACCAAGGTACATGCCCTTGACCAGAATTGAACCCGGGACCCTTCAGTCCGCAGGCTGGCACTCTATCCACTGAGCCAAACCGGTTAGGGCAAGTTTCCTGGTTCTATACGGGGGTTTTGTTATACGTTCCCTGACTTGACCATCTCAAGGCGGGCTGTTAAAGCCCAGGCTTCCAGGTTGCTGGGAACCCAGGGCAGACCCAGCATTAGCTCAGTGGCCTACAGCTCTAGTTCTCAGTTTCTTCTTCGTTTTTTAATCTTGTGGATTTGCCTGAATTGTTTGCATGCTCAGCCACACATTTATGTAAGTTATATTTTATCCAGTCTTTCTAGGTGTTCCTTGTAGAAGAGTTTTCAACTTGCTTGGTCTGCTGTATTGTAGGTAGCAGGGCTGCCGTAATGCAGGTTGAAGGTGCATCCCCTGGGAAGGGATTTGTGTTTATTCTTCCACGTGTCCCAGGAGCATCACTGTCTCGGAACCATTTCACGTAGATCTGAGTTTCTGTCTGGTATTGTATGTCTCCTGGCGGATACACTATTTTTTGTATTTCTTTGCAGCATAGGTCTACTGGAAATTCTCTCAGTTTTTATCTATTTAATGAAAAGTATTTTGCCTTCATTTTTGATAGGCATTTTCTCTACATTATAGAACTCTGAGTTGACAGTAATAGATACACATATTTTATTTAGTACTTTAGAGATGTCACTTTATGGTCTATTGGCTTATATTTTTCTCATGAGAAGTCTGCTTATAACCCTTATCTTTTTCCTCGATGTCTTTTTTTTGGGCTACCTTCAAGAATTTTTTCTTATACAGGTGGGCAAAAGTAGGTTTACAGGTGTGATACAAATACATAGTCCAATGATTTACAAATAACTAATAATGTGAGAATAAACTGTGTTTTGTGTACACACAACTGTAAACCTACTTTTGCCTACCCCTATATTTGTTTTTTTTTAGCACTTTGAATATGATGTGTCTAGGTGTGGGTTTTGTGTTTCATTTTTAAGGAATTATTTATTTTGCTTTTGTTTAGTTTTAGTTTCAATCTTGCACGGGGTTCTCTGAGCTTCCTGGATCTTTTTTTTTATTTTTGGAGGATCTCAGCCACGATCTCTTCAAATGTTTCTTCTGCTCCGTCCTCTCTCACTGTTTCTTCTGCTTGTCACAGGCGAAACAGTCTGCAGGCACCCATCTCCCTTGGGGGCTGGAGATTGTCCATTTTTAGATTTCCTGCCACTTGTTTGTCCTGCAACCTCAGTGCTCTGAATGGTTCAAGAAAACTTGGGATTTTGCTGTTTACCGTGGGGTTTTTTTGTTTGTTTGTTTTTTCATCGTTAGAGTACGAGAGACCCCCTTTCTAGCTTTCTGCATCCTAGGTGGAAGCAGGACCCCGATCTACTTCAGATAAATGCACCATCAAAGGCAAAGGAAGAGTTCTCGTGACACTCGGTGTCTCCTGACATTGTCCATAGCACTTATACAGCCCGAGCCTGTCATCTCCGGGCGGGACTCGCCTATTTTGATTGAAGGAGAAGGAAGCAGGTTGTTCAGCTGGCTCACCGTGACTTAGAAAGAACCAGTTTTTAAAAATTTAATAAAAGGCTTCCCACAACCACCACCTGTGGTACACGTTACCACTTCCGTTACATTGGTATTCTTCCATTAGAAAAGAGAAGCCAGCTCAGGTGGGCAAACAAGTGCAGGCAGCACATCCTCCTGGGCTGTTCGGCAGAATCTTCATATCTACGCATAAATGACAGTTTCTTTACATATCGCATTTCCGTAAAGTGAAACAAAATCACTTCGCAGATTAAATAGTGTGAAGTGCAGGAAAATATCTCAAGCATGTGTATCCGTCACTGTGAATGTGAATCATCTTCCCCTAATATAGAAATACCTCTAAGGTAAAATGGTTAGCCAACTTAAGGACTAGCTGGGAATCATAAAGACATTAGAAACTATAGTCCAACATTCCCATTTTACAGATGAAGGAAGTAAGGTCTGAGAAGGGAAATAAATGATTTATCTAAACTCCCCCAGTAAGTTAATAGCAAAGCCTGGATTAAAATAGACATGACGCAGTTCTGGGCTTCTGTACCCGCAAATCCATTCCTCACCCTTTCCCTACCATACTCAGTGTCACCTTCAGGCTGTGTTAGACCCTCTAGCCTCCTGAGTCAGCTGGGTACCCGCTGGGTTTGACCAGCTGGGGGCACTAGAAGGAGATTAGAGGGTAGGAGGAAGCCAGGGTATATCTCCTCCTCCCTCTCTAACTTCAGCAGAGTCCCCAGTAAGCAAATGCATTTTCCCTGTGATTCTAGCCCTTCAGACAAGCCCACCGTGGGTTCCACCTTCTGCCAGGCCCCCAGAGCCTGGTCACACTTCCTCCTCATCTTTTGTCTCCAGCCCGGGTGGAAGTGGCTGTTGTTACTAATCCGTGAGCTATCTTGCTGTCTTAAATTGGCTTCCCATCATTCCCATCTTCGGTGTAACCAAGACTCTCAATTAAATTCCCTGCCTGCAAATATTTTTGTTTTCCTGCTTAGACTTCGCATAAAATAATAGTTTTATGTTCATTCCACAAAATGCACATTTTCCAACCAGGCTGTCAATTCTGTGAGCAACTTCAAATCCTTCCAATAAATCTCTTTTTTGCTTGTTAGTCAGAGTTGGTTTCTGTTGTTTACAGCTGAGAACCCTGAGGGTTACAATGATAAGGGTTGCGGCTGGATTTGTGGTCACATCGTGTTGAATCAGAATCTCTGGGAGATCCCCTGGCAAGTGCCCATTCTGAAAAGCACACAGGTGACTGCTGCCCGACTGGGTTGGGGACCACGATTTCAGTTAATATGGTTGTCAATAGACATGGCAGAGCAGTGGGTATGGTTTGAGAATTTGGAGTCAGTCAAAAACCCAGCATCTCTTGTTGGTCTTTACTACTTTTAGAGCCAATATACAGTTAGAAATAATATCTCACAGGAAGTAGTTTTAAAAAACATCATATTCTTTTCATTGAAATAATGATTCAATTAATGTTTACGTTCACAAATGGTTAAATTCATATAAATTATAAAAAAGAAAAGTAACTTTATAGGTCTGTTGCTGCCGTTAGAATATGAGCTTCTCAAATGCAAGGGTTGTATTTTTCATTTGTGTCCCCAGCATTTAACGAAGTATCTAAAGTAAACAAGTGCTCAATACATGTTTATAGGCTAGCACAAAGGCAAAGCTACAATATGCTCCAAGTATTATACAATAAGCACAAGGTTCTTTATACTAATATAAGGAGCCGCACTTGCTATAAAATATACAAAGAACATAAACAATTACTCTTCAACTTTATAACAGATTTGACCTAACACTCTAGTAGGTGCCAGAATGACTTGGATGATTCGAGTAGGATTAATCTTGGAAGGTGAAATAGAAAAGATTAAGAAGCAATTTCAAAATCTAAAACCTCAAGTTAGGAATCAGTTAATAAAAAGCTTATCTGAAGAAAAAGTACTAATATTTTATTCAATATTTAATAAAACAGAGCCAATATTTAGTCTTCTGCTAAAGCATTGAGTCATTTGGATGGAATAGTTTTAGTTCTTAAGAGCCGTTTGCCGTAGATTGAACAAAAATCTTTCAAAGTCCCTTAAAATCTTTCCTGTGGTTCATGATTTTTTCACAAACCCAAGTTCCCTCCCTCATCAAGTATTTGGGATTAATGAGGATGTGATATCAAACACTTTAGTAGAGAAAGCGAGTCTTATACCCCGAGGAGCAGTGCTTTTAGCTCTTTGTAAGCGCATTTTCCGATATGCTCTTGATAGATTCTAGCCTGTTCAGCCTGTCTGCTTTTAGTAAAATGAAGTAAAAAAATTAAACTAGAGACAAGGCTTAAGCACCGGAACTTAACACACTCTACCCAGTTACTGTCTGATTTACTGAGAGCGCTTAGGCAGCTCTAAGTAGCTATGGCGATCCCAGGTGATTGCCTAGGTCCTGAAGACATTTAGTGTAATACAAGCCCAACCATTAGCACAACAGCAAAGTATCTGTTACCTCTCTATGGAACTTGGATTGCTGGAGTTCTAGAGAAGGGTCACTTTTGTTTTTCACAGAAAATTAGCTTAGGCTCTGCAATGTAACACTACCCGAGTCATTTCAAAAGTGTTCTTTTGCTACCAAGAAATATTTGAAAAGAAAATGAAAGCAATTTCATTTCAGGGCAGGAAGAAAAATATTAGGAACTAGGGAGACAAAGACAGGGGAAAATATTACAGTAGATTACATTGTTCCCTAACCAGGAAACTGGGGCCAGTTCTCAACATTTTAGATTCTTACTGGGGCCATAAGGAAGGAAGGAACTTTTGAGACTGTGAGACTCAACTTCGTCTCACATGAAGCCGAAATTCGTGGGATACTGAAAGTCTGCTCCGCTTCCGTTCCACTAGGATGTGATAATCACTAATGTATGATTACAGATATTTTTATTTCCCTCGAAGAGTGGGTTGTAATTGCGTCTGACAGCCTCTGCGAGAGGCTCCTGTGAATAAAGAACTGTGCCTGGAGTGGTGAGAGACACCAAGAGTCTAACAAGGTGGCTCGGGTAAACAGGAAGAACTTGAACTTGAAGGCATGCTTCCATTCAACCTCCACCACTACCTCGCTGGGTAACTCTGGGACAGTTGCCTGCCTTTTTGGAGCATCTGTTTTCTCATGTCTAAAATGCAAATAACAATATCTACTTTCTCAAGGTGTTTCTGAGGATGGGGGAATTAACTAACATATGTAGAGTGCCGGTGTAGTACCCAGCATAGAGTATGTGCTCATGAAACTTTGTTTGCTTTTCTTTTCCTTTCATCTCGAGAGTCTCTAGCTTTTGAGAGAAGCAGGTATGAAAAGTCAGTATAGTACAAGGTGAACTGAAGTAAGAAGTAAAAAAAAAAAAAAGTAAGTTATAGCCTCTGAGAGGAAGGAGACATTATTAGCAAGAGGGAGACTTGGGGAAGATTCTATGTAAGAAGCGATGTTGAGTCCGGGCTGTGATGAGTGACTTTGGAAGGCGTGGGGAATGTCTGTGTAGGGGGCACAGTCTGGCTGGAAGGGAGAGGAGGTGGCAGTGCCAGGGAAGGTTATGGGTGAAGAGACTAAAGTCCTCCCTGCCATCCCACCCAACCTGACTTGGAATGTGACAGGTGTAGGGGACATTTGGACAGATGTCTGTGTTTAATGAGAATGCAAACACTGCTTGGGAACAGATTGTGTGGGACCTCAAATGCCTAGGACTTTGAACTTTATGGCATAGGTTGGGAGGCCCACTGAGGTGTTTGAACAAGCGGTTGATGTGCTATGACCTGTGTGTGTTCTTTATGAAATCTCTAGAGCCGTGTAAAGCATTGAGAGGAGAATTATAAAAATTTGAACTCATCTAAATACCAGGATCATCCCCAGACTCGTCTTCCATTGAGGGGCTGCCAGTGAGGGGGATAGAAATAACAACAGCAACAACAAAAATAATGACAAACACTTGTTTTTGGCACTCCCCATGTGCCAGGCATTATTCTAAGCACGTTACTCATATCAACTCCTTTATTCCTCACTAGGGTCCTATGAAGTAGGTGCTGTCATTACCTTCATTTTATAGATGAGGAAACTGAAGGTTCAATGACTTGCCCAAGGTCATGGCAGAGCTGGGTTTTGAACTTACTCCATTGACTCCAGGCCAATAACCACTGCACCATCGTGTCTGTGCAGCAATGTCTGGGGTTTATTGAGGATTGGTGCTGCAGGAATGGGAAAAGGACTAATATCAAAGAGGAAGAGTAAAGAAAGGAGAACATCAGAGAAAATAAACAGTTGCCTGTGGGAGGAAGCACCACAGGTCCCGCAGTAATAATCTCAGGTACCACCCAGTGCTGCCTTGGCCATAAGCTCTGCACCCTCATAGAGAAAGCTTAGGTGTTCTGAAATTAAGCTCATTATCTAAGGGAGGATTTCAGGGTCGGTTGTGATATAAGTAACTAATCAGAAGTAGCTTAGCCTGCCAGACGTTGCACAATGCATTACTTTGAAAAGCTAGCAATTGGAAGAAGTGAAACGGAGCGTGAAAATAATGAAGTGGGCTGGGTTTCCGATTTGGGAGGAAGAACTCTGTAAATTATTTAAGGCACTTCATGATCAGATCCAGCTTCTCGCTTACTACTCCCTTCCAGGACAATTAGACGAAACGGCTTCCAAATCCTCCCTACCTCCCATAGTGTCTACGTGCCCAAATTCTATTTTGAAGACACCGAACTTGTCCCCGTCTGCCTTTTCCAATGCTTTCCACCCTTCCTTCCCCAGCTTGCCCTCGCCCAGGAGGCTGGCCGGTATGGCACAGGTCAGCGGGCTCCCGGCCGCTGGCCTCTGGTTGGTTCAGGCATTGGGAGCCCGGGGAAGGCAATCAGACAGGAGGATGTGAGGGCAGGACACTTCTCCCCCTGGTGTCTTCCCTCTGAAGGGGGGCTGGCTGTCTCTCTTGACTAAAGCTCTTTGCTCCTCATAAGGTAGCGTTCTCTTAGGACTCTTGTGGGCTTTCAAAACCAATCTTTCTCCTTGGCTCTTTGGGCCTAGAGGGGGTAACAGCTCTACTGTTAATAACCTTGGGTGATGGAGTGGTCTCTTGTAGTTTCCCTCTAGCCCTCCTCCTGGGCCCCTTAAGTAGATTCCATGTTAAACTGCCCTCAGATGAACCTTTTGTGATTGAGTCATCACTTTCTGTTGGGGACTCTGGTATTTTTTTCCATTATGAAGCCCTTTTTTCTCTGAACTCTCACAAAACATGATTTTTATCCCTTCGAAGGTACTGTTCTTTTGCAGATTACATGATTTGCATACATGTTGTAAATCTGTCCCTTACTGAATCACTCGATGAATGTTAAGGGGATTGCCGAATGGCAAGGACACAAACAAGAATATTATCGCATCATTTAATTTTCTCTTAAACTTGCTGATCTATTGCCGTTATTTTAACATTAAAACTAAAGTTCTTTCACATTCGGGGGGAAAGTCTACTTCACCAGCACTGAGTTATAGTGTCGGGACTGGACCATCTACAGATCTAGAGCTCTTATACCTTCTCCCCTCACAGTCAGGAGCGTGTGCTGATGGTGTGTCTCGTGTGTTGCAGGCCGTTCTCCGTGGAGCCCTCTGTTGGAACTCTTACCGTGGGAGAGTCCATGCAACTGGAAGCGGATTTTGAGCCACAGACTGTGGGCAATCACAGCCAACGGCTGATTGTGTATTACGACACAGGTGTGCATTCTCCTTATTTAAAAGTTCCGCCCGTTAAGAAAGGTCAGATGGAAAACATGAGGGCGCAAAGCAGGAAATGGTTATTTTGGCTGCATGAGAGTAAGCTAAGATCCGCCAGGCAAAGAACAAAAGAATAAATGCCTCCAACAGAAATAATGTTGAGGCAGATATAAATCCCACCCGACTGGTTTCTCCAATGTTTACAAGCCTGAGAAATACAGGGCTCAGGAAGGAGCCTACACCCAGATGTCACGTTAGTAGATTGAGGTTATTTATATGTAAATGGAACTTGAAGATAACTTCATACCCCCATGTGTTTTCCATTTGATTTGTTGCTGCGTTTGTCTGACATTTTGAAAATATAAATCCCAGTTCAGAATGGTCTTTTGTGTGTTCACTAGTCTATGTCAGATGCAGTTACTGTAATCCTTAGAATGTGCAAATATCTTACTTCTTTCTTAAATACAGTATAAGACGGTGACTATTGCCACAGCGGTTTCTTGAAGGCCATACCCTGCATAATGATGGAAATTATTCATTTAATTGATGGTCATGTAGACTGCATGTACAATATGCAAGTATCCAAAGTTGGTTTTCAAATTAATATTTTACCATTCCCATTTATTACTTCCTATCCTCATTTCCTCCACATTTCTTTTTGAACCGTTCACGTGGAGTGACCCAGATTGTCTGCGTCAGGAGGGCGTTCGTTGTGGGAGAAAACAGAAGCGTACAGCCAGTAAAAAGCAACAGGAGACACTGAGGCCGCAGTTCAGAGTTGCTGGCTTTGTGGATGGGTAGCTGAGCAGGACAATTCAAGCCATTGCATGACACGTGGCTAAGTGGTTCTGGCTCTACATTGCCCAGCATGAAAGCTGCACATAACCAGGGGCACAATCTGTATTTCTTATCGTTTAGTGTCGGCCATAGTTCACTGGCTGCTGGCAAGAGAAACCTGACCTGAACCAGCTTAAGCAAAGAAGTTTGGGCCCATGTCACCCAACAGAGGAAGGTTAAACGCACAGTTTATAACACATCAGGGACATTGATTTTTTCCAAAGTAGTCCTGCCATTTTGCACTCCCACCAGCAAAGAGTGAGTTCCAGTTGCTTCACAGCCTTGCCAACACCTGGTGTTGTAGTGTTCATTTTAGATATACTAGTGGCATAAAGTGATGTCTTCTAGGGTTTTAATTTTCATTTCTCTGATGATTAATGACATTGAGCCCATTTTCATGTGCTTACTAGCCATTCATATGTTTTTATTATTAACTTTAAGAGTACTTTCTAACTTTATAGTCTGAATACTAGTCATTTGCCAGATATATGTATTGTTAATGTTTTCTTTCAGACTGTAGCTTGCCTTTTCATTTCCTTAATGATATTTCTTAATGAGCAGACATTTTTCATTTTGATGAAATCCACATTATCAGTTTTTTTCTTTTAGGATTAATGCTTTTTGCCTTCTTGCTAAGAAATCTTTGCCTTCTCCAAGATCATGAACGTATTCTCCTATGTTTACTTTTAGGAGGGTATTAGTTTCAGCTTCTAGGTTTAAGTTAGTGATTGATCTTTGATTTCATTTTTGTGTATGTGTGAGGTGGGGACCATGTTTCTCCCCTCTCCCGCCCTCCCCCCCATATGGATTACTAGCTCTTCTCCATTCTCTTATCTTGTTCTGAAAATTTAATTAATTACTCTTTGTTCTATTACTTAATCTATTATTACTCTGTTATTTATTCCTTTTAACCTCTTTCATGTTTTCTATTTCTTTGTCTCTGTAGACGTCTCTGGATACTTCTTACCTATTCAATAAATTTACTCTTCAGTGAAGTCTACTGAGTTTCAATTTTTCAATTATAATTATTTTCATTTCGGAAATTTTATTTGATTCTTCTTTAAATCAAAGTGCTCTCTACTCTTATTTTTCAAGTTTCCCTTTTATTTTTAAAATACCTTAAACTTATTTATACTTACTTATATTTTATATCTGATAATTCAAATATATTGTGTGTATTTATTTATTTATTTATTTCATTTGCTGCTTATTGTTTCTGATGATTTTCAACCATGTTATCTGTAGGGAGGGGAATTATCTTTCCCCTATACCCTTCCAGGTTTTTAGCTGGGCCCCTGTAACCAAAAAAAACCCCAAAACAGATTATCAGGAGAAAAGCATACAAATTAATGTAATTCTTAAGTGACACGGGAGCCTTCAGAAGGAAATGAAGACTGGAAGAAGTGGACAAACCGAGTGTTTTTACGCTAGGTTTGATGAGGAGTGGTCAGTTGTGGGAAAATGTGATAGGACAAAAAAGGGTATGAGCTGCGTGTAGTAAACTTGGGGAAACAGTAAGGCCTGTTTGCTCAGCTTCCTCTCATTGTCCCTCTGTCTTTGCAGATAAGGATGCTCCTGTCATCCAAGTCTAGGAGGGCGCCTCTCCAATGAAGGTCTTATGACCTGCTTCAGGGGAAAGTAAAAAAATAAAAATCCTTCCTGCACCTGCCAAGTTGCCATAATTTGGGGTAGTGTGTTCTCAATTGGCCTATCTTATGCCGCTGTGTTTTGTAAATTTTGAATTTAGCATTTCCACTTTGGGTGGGCCCTAGACTTTATGGCCTGTCCTAGGAATACAAAACAATAGTTAAAGCAGGAGTTCAAGGGTTAACAACAGGCTTTAGGGCAAAAGACAGCTTTGGCACCACATCACTTCCTGCAATTCTTCACTTCACTTTGATGTTCTTATTTTTAAAGTTGTTTAAAAAATATTTTATTGAGTATTTTAGTTATTTCAATCTCCAGTTTAATTTAATACCTAAAACTGACTCTAATTTGTCTTTTTCACATTGTTCAGCGTTATTTATAGAGTAGTTCATTCTTTCCCACTACTTTATAATCCTCTCTATATATCATCATATTATATAAACATGGTTTATCCCTCTATGTGGTTAGGCTTTCTTTAATTTCAGCAGTAGTTTTCTGAGTAGAAGTTTTGAACCTTATGGTTAAATTTAGTCATATATTCATTGGTTTTTCATATTGATATAAGTGATTTTAATTACATTTTAATTATAGTACATATAATTTAGATGTACAGATTTTAATTGTACAGTTCGATGAGTTTTGACAAGTGTAAATACCTGTGTAACTACCACCCCGGGCATTCAATATATAGAACATCTATTATCTCAGAAAGTTCCTTCATGCCTTTTCCAGTTAATTCCTTCATCCCCATCTTAGATTTCTATTACCCTACATTAGTTTTGCTTGTTCTTGGAATTCAAATCAGTGTACTGATACAATATATACTTTTTTTTTTATGTCTTTCACTCAACATAATGTTTTTGCGATTCTTTTCATGTTGTGTATATCAGTAATTCCCTTTTTACTCCTGAGCAGTATTCCACTGTATGCTCATACATAGCTTATTCATTCTCCTGTTAATGTAACTTTGGAGTGTTTGAAGTTTGGGGCTATTATGAATAAAGCTTTAATAACCACTTTTCTACAAGATGTGTGTATGTGTGCACGTATACTTTTATTTTTCAGGTAAATATTTAGGAGTAGAATTGCTGGATTGTAAGGTAGTTTATATGCTTAAATTTATTTTAAAAAAACTTCAAGTTTTCTGAAACGGTTGAAGCATTTTATATTTCCACCAGCAATGTATGAGGATTCCAGTTATTCCACATCCTCATCAACTCTTGGTCATTGTCTTTTAATTTTAGTCATCCTAGTGAATGTGAAGTGGTATCTATTTTGTTTTAAATTGCCATTTCCCCAATGACTAATAATGTTGAGTATCTTCTCGTGCATTTTTGACTATTTTTATGTCTTCTATTTTAAAGTGTTTGTTCAAGATTTTTACCTATTCTTTTATGGATGGTTTGTCCTTTTGTCATTGCATTATAGTCTTTTATGTATTCATTTTTTTCTTTTATGGCTAGTGTGGTATTTTTTTCTAATTCTATTTTCTAAACTTTTGTGGGTATATCAAAATAGAGTTAAGTTTTGTGTGTTGATCTTTTATCTATAGACCTTGATAAGTTAACTTATTAGTTCATGATTTATCTGTAGATGATCTTGCATTTTGCATATATATAATCAAGTCATCTGAAGATGATCATTTAATTCTTTTTCAATGGTTACACCTTTTATTTCTTATTGTGTCTTGCACAGGCTAGGCTTTTAGTACCATGTTCAATGGAAATGATGATAATTAATGTCCTTCTCTTGTTCTCAATCTCAGAGGGGAAGTGTCAGAGTTTCATCATTTAATATGATATCTTTAGTGTATACTCTCTATTAGTTAAAGAAAATTTTCTATTTCTAGGTTTCTTTTCATCTTGAATGGGTGTTGAATTCCATCAATTACTTCTGTATACGTTGAGATTATTACATATTATTTCACCTTTATTCTTCAAATGCAGTGATTGGTTTTCAAATGCTAAATCCGTGCAATATTCTGGGATAAACCTAAATTTTAAATGTTATTGTCTTAGTTAACCACTGGGTTAGATCTGCTGATAATTTGTTTGAGAGCTTAGCATCCAAATTCATAAGAAAGATTAGCCTGTCATTTTCTATTAATCTAATGCCCTTGTCTTTGGTCTTAAAAAGCCAACTGGTCTCATAAAACGAGTTGGGAATTATTCTCCCTTTTTATTCTCTAAAAGGAATCTTTAAGATTCTTGTTCTTTCTTCCTTAAATGATTGAAAAATTCATTATTCAAGCTATTTGACTTAAAGCTTTTAAGAAAGTATTCAATTTCTCAGTAGACATAGATCTAAGATTTTCTATTTTGTTCTTGTATAATTTTTGGTAAACTTTTTTTCAAGCCATTTTCCTAAGAAAATAAGCGGCCTTCCCAAGGTCACATAACTAGTCAGAAGAACAGTTAGAACCCAGACTCTCACTGCCATGCAGTGAGCTTCCCCCCATAGTGATCATCTCCCCAGCCTCTCATATTACTACATTTGCATTTTTACTCCCATAATCC